GATAATCTCTTCCCACCTCTTGGGAGGATGTTTCTCAGGCAATGGAAATTTCCTCCATGTCTTCAGGATTTTTATCCAGAAAACATCCTTACCAATGCCATGTCTGACCGCATTCCTATTCGTGAGGTCTTGAGTGTGGAGGATCTGCTGTGCATTCCTTGGAATTGGCCATGCTTTGTTTTTCAGCCACATAGTCGGGTGTACTGCAATGTAAGAAGGGGAGCCAGTCTTCTCAGTTGCTCCCACGCGAGGGTGCTCCAAGGTGTTTGTGGGTTAAACAAAAACCTCTTAATCCATTTTATTGAGAGGGTCATAGTTTGAGTGGATGGGTCGATGATGCCCAACCCTCCTTTGGATTTGGGTAGTATAATGGATGACCAGGCTACTCTGCTGATAACATTTTTGTAATCGTGATTGCCTCTCCATAGGAAGACTTTGAGTTGTTGTTGGAATATTTTGATGGATGCGTAATCCAAAGCCCATAAGGCTGATTTGTACCAGCTTGAGGCCAATATTACATTGTTGATTACTAAGGAACGACCCATAATTGAAGTATGCTTGTCTTTCCACAATTCTAATTTGGACAGGGCACTTTGCATTATCCTCTCATTATTTGTTTTTGGTTTTCCTTCTAGAGATAGATAGATGCCTATGATTCTAATTGGAGTATCCTTGGGGACCCACTTGATACGGGGGGACTCTGATGGTCGTACCCCCTGGTGGTGGATCCACCATCATAGGGTTTCGTCTCCCCAATTGACCTTCGTGTCCGATCATCTGCATAATTTGTTTAGTAGCTCTTTAATTATTTTCATGTTTTCAGAGGTTGCATCTACCATCAGAGAGAGATCATTTGCAAACAGCGAACAAATAGGAATTGCCTCCTCAGGAATTGAGGAGATCTGTATTCTTTTGATGTCCTTGTCATGGCTGAGGTTGAGGACCCAAACTTCCATGATTATGATGAACAGAAAAGGCGTTAAAGGGTCGCCTTGCCTGAACGGTCTCTGTAAGTTAATTGGGGGGGAAACGTTACCATTTATAGAGACTCTAGTAGACGCTTTCTGGTACATGATTTTTATCCATCTCCTGAAGTATGGACAAAAATTCATCTTTTGTAAGCATTTGTCTAAAAAAAAACAGTCCAAATGGTCATAAGCTCTTTCAAAATTAATGAATATGAGTGCTGCGTTATGTTTGGACTGGCGGGAAATTCTTAGGAGTTCATTTATTAGTAAGATATTGTCTTGAATATTTCGTTCCGTGATAAAACCAGTTTGCGCCGGATGAATGATGTTCGCTGTGATGTTCGTCAATCTGTCACCTTAATACATAGTAATTACTTCGAATTCTCGCCTATGATCTGGGGGTGGAGCGGTCGGGGGGGAAATGCCTTGTTGGTAAGGAGGGTTAGCTGGCAAAATGGTAGTAGGGTAGGCTGTAGGAAGGATGGTAGCCTAACTATAGTAAGCCCTACTGAAAAGGGAGGGGGGAGGTAAGAGTTAAAAACAGGAGGATTGGGGGTGATTGAGAGTTGTTTGCAGTTGAGTAAGATTCAGTCCAGGGACGAGTAGGTCTGGAGGATGTTGTTGGGAGATGCAGACTGTCGCTGGGGCTTTTATGCTCTGTAACCCGGGTAGGGGCTTGGGTCTGGGGAAGTTCACCGAGGGAGGAAGGTGAAACCAGCTTGTCCAACGAAGCCAGTGTTGGGGCATTGCTCTGTAGCCTGAATGAGTCAAGGGCTTGAGGCTAGGATGGAGTGGCCAAGGGTCACGGAGGGTGCGGGACACTTCGGTCTCTGCTGTTAGAACGAGGATGGTCGGAGCTGGGGCAGGTCGTGCTGCCCTGTAACCTTAGTTGATGGGGGGTAAGAGACTGTCTGAGTTCTGATGAGGATTGAATGGTTGGACTGAGTCTTGCTTGCTTGTCAAATGGATTATGGGAAGAATGAGGAGTCCTGTTTTCTTTTTGCTAGTCTCCTTGGTTGGTGGATCTATAGGTAAGTTTTTTGGACACCGGTACAACCTGGCCATGGGACTGGAGGACGATCCTGTGTGAGACACGGACCTCCCTTGCATCTAGTACCTTTGAAAATAACATGTTTAAAATAGGAAGGAGAGCGATTATGTGGGCGATCTGGAGGAGACGTTGTATACATGTCATGGAGGGAGTCCGTATAGCCGAGGAGGAAATGACAGACATGATCAAACAATTCATACATCAAGAACTTATGACGCAATGGCAGAAGGTCAAAAGTTTGCTGGATCTATGCCAAACAAAGAAGGAAATAGAACAAAAAATCCGACAATTTTTAGGGGATTGGCTGGGCGGCGCGGATGGAGGCCGAATCGCTTTCATCAAGTGGGATGGAGGCCAAACTCGGAGAAACGAAGCAGGCAACCACGACGGCAACCGGGAGCTGATCACTAAAGACTATCAGATCTGTTTCGGAGACCGGAGAACGGTGGGCCAAGGGGTTCCGTTACGGCCACCATCGGATTTTCCCGACCCCTTTCCACCCCATTAGTTGGCGGTAGTGGACATGCAGTGGTATGGGCCGGAGTAAGCAGGCCTGATGGACGCAGGGGCGCCAGCATCAGCCCCTCTCTCGGAGCAGGGAACCAGTTGGCAGCTGCACATATCTGGCGCCTGGCGTAGGGCGAAGAGGCTCCCG